ATAACATGTTAAAGAGGTTGATGTAGAAAATGCAATAGTATGTAATAATTGTGATAAACTAATAAAAACTTAGTAAAAAAAACAAACAAACATATAAATCCACCACTAACACCTGAACAAGTATCATTTCCTTTGCCATAAATTTATGAGTCAGCCAGTAAACAAATATCATATCCAAAATTCCTGACCAACAAAATTGTATTGTTTTCCTTTTTCACTCTCTAAAACATTTTAAAAACCAACCAGTATAAATCAAAATCTGATTTATTAGTTTCCCCCTGAACACCTTCATTTCAATTGATAGTTTATCATTTAAGGCTATGTTCCATGCCTCCCCATACCATGGTTCCAGCGCAAGATTGGTTACTATCTTCCAATTCCTTGCAATTGCAAGTCTTGCCACTATGAGTAAAATAATCACCAATTCTTTCTTTTCCATTTCTAAATTCAGTTTTGTGGCATCCATTAGTAATGCTAACCTGGCATCCGGGGTGATGTTTAGTCCTATAATGTTACATATTTCCATAAATATGTTGTTTCAAAAGTTCTTCATTCCCACCATAAATGAAAATATGTCCCTTTGTGCATGCCATATCTCCAGCAGAGCGTACTTTGCTTCCTATCCATCTGGTGTAGTTTAATCGGTATGGTATACCATCTCTATATGACTTTGTACACATTTTCTTTTAATTTTATTTACAGATTTTTAATCACTCTCCATTTTGGAATCCTTTTTCAATCAAGATCTGTCAGAGGCCCTAAGTTTCCTTTTCATACTTTTTCTAACAGCTTCAGCCCTATTTCTTTGCCTATTATTCCATTGTATATTTTCCAAATTAATCCTTTCCCAGATACTTTTTGGTTTATAAGTTTACTTAGAAACGAAGACATATTAAAATATGATTTTGTCTGTAAATCTGAAGGCTTTTAAAAATCAATTTTCTGTAAACCGTAAGCATGTTATCTAATGCATTTTTATTATACATATTTTATAGGAAATGTTGGAAGCACTCAAGGCTCTTTCAGCCTTTTTTGTAGAAAATAGTTTGCGTACCAGAAGAAATTTACGCGGGGATATCGAACATCGCAGTTTAGCCATAAATGAAGAATTTGTCTACATTTTCAAGCAAGTGAAAGAGGTATTTCAATTATTCTTAATGAAGGGTGGAAATCATGACATTCCCAAGATGTTGTTGAACTGCAACTTTCAGCAATCCTAATCAGCACAGCCATGGTGAAGAATGCTGGGAGTTGTATTTCAGTAACATCTGGAGGCCTCAAGATTTCCACTCTTGTTTTAACTCTCTAGCATGAAGTTTACTATGGTATAAATTGTTCTCAAGTGAAATCCATTCTGTTCTGGCTATGATTTGCTTCTATCTTTATTATATCCTGTATTTTATCTTCATGGAAGAAGAATGAGCTTGAAACACCTTGATGCGTATTATCACATTAAAAGGTCCATGCAGGCAATTGATTTGGGTCTTTAAAATGTATAGAAAGGAGAAAGCTGTATTTCATTTACTATTTTTTTTGTATCAAAATGGACAAAATGCAATTTGGAATTATTAGTGGAAAAACTGATGTGACATTTATCACATGCAGATAGTATGCCAGATAGCACAAACTTATGCACAAATTTATCCAGATCCAGGCCCCTTTGTACACTTATCCTCTAGAACAGTGGTCCTCAACCTGTGGGTCCCCAGATGTTTTGACCTTCAACTCCCAGAAATCATAACAGCTGGTAAACTGGCTGGGATTTCTGAGAGTTGTAGGCCAAAACACCTAGGAACCCACAGGTTGAAAACCACTGCTCTAGTAAGTAAGTAAGATTCTGGGCTGAAATTCAATATTTTATATTAGAATTCTGTTAAATTTTGCATGGAAAATGTGGTTCAGTGCTGCTGATTTCTAGCTGCAAAGGATTTTAGTCCTAAAATTGCATTGATTTCAACAGAAGAAATTTAGGCTGTGCTTACAAAAGTTAAGATCATTTAAGTCTTTAAAAATGGGACTTAAATCATCTCAACTTTTGCTTCCGGGAGCTCAAATTTGTTGCTAAGTAGTTCTTATTCCACAATTTAAAGTAGGCCAGTGTGTATATCCTAATATAGATTGCTGCTGAAGATGGATTGGTAGCTGAGAAATAGTATAGGCTTGCCTGAGGGCATCCAAAGAAAGATCAGAAAAAGTAAGCGTTTGGCTCACAGCTCATTGCTTACAACAAATTCACTGCATTGTTTGTACAAATGAAACACTTCTCAAATGTACCCTTGAGATAAAAACTTGGACCACTGTAATCCTACATTGTCTCAGGAAGCCATTAATCTATCATGTCCGTGCTATTTATAATTTACAACACATGCTTTTCTTAGCTGCTGTTGTAGGGTCTTTTTTAGATCTCCGTGGACCTGCTCATATACTCCTAAGGCAAACATCTTGATGACAACTCACTTGCTAGGCTCAGCTGCTCTTATCTGAAGCTATTATCCCGTGGCTCCCATTACCATTACTATTAAAAGTAGTGGTTGTGGCTGATGGGAGTCATTGTCCAATGATATCCACCAGTTGCCCATTTCTACTCTGAGATGAGGAAGAAGATTGGGGCATAGCATGGAAAATTACACTGGTCTTTGTTGTGGTTAATATGATCATATTCTAAAAATTTAAAAATAGCCATGTTGAGAAAACAAAAACTTGCCCAAAGAACAGTTAGCCACCCTCTCAATCTTTGAAAAAAAATCTCATTGGAAGCAGAAACAGAAAATTTAGGAAAGAGAGTGTGAAGTAAATAGGAAGAACTTTTGCCTTGCGCCTGACAGTTTGATGGTCTAGGAAGCCTCAAGGAAAGAAGTGTTGTCAGCTGTCATCCTACTTTTAGTCAGAGCCATCTTCCTTACCAGTTCTTTGTTATCAGCTCAACGCCCCCTCATAAAACTCTGTGCAGAACTGCAGGTCTGTACTTTTCACTCTAGGTTCCTAAAGCATGGTGTGTTTCTGCCACTGTATCGGAATAAGTATAAGTGTGTTGTTTTCATTGCACATCTGTATCTCCAGAGTACACGGGTATGTTATACTTCTTTACCCCCAATTTCTCTTGGTTGGGAAAAAGCCAAACATGGGTCTTAATGGAGAAAAATCACTGCATATTTTTGGAACACGTCTGGGGTAGGAAAACCTCCAGAGATAGTAAACATCAAGGGATGGGGGCCAGGAGAAGGAATCTGGTGTATGTGCTGGTTTTTGTTGTAACATACATTTTTTTTATTTCCAGGAGCTTGAAGGCATAAATGAAGATGTGCAGTTCATGAATAACTGTTGTCAGGAGATGACTAATCACTTAAAGGTACTGTACAAAGGTGGTGGGCCTTTCTTCCATTGAAATCAATGCAAATAATAATTTCAATAATATATATGTCCATTCCATAAATTAACTTAAAGAAGATGATTTGGGCAGTTCTTTATTTTGTTAATGGGCACAAGAATTCAATTATACTAAATTACTTCCACTGTAAAGAGATCCTCATTAATTTCTATGTAGGAAGCAGATCTAGGATTTTTTGGGGTCCAGGGTCTGCATCAGCTATTGATATAAGGAGGGCAGTCCCTATATACCAGAGTTTGTGGACAAGACTGCGCATCTGAACTGCAATATCTACAGATCAGCCAACTTCACTTTTTAAAACTTTTTATTTCAGTTTGATGGTATGGATTTTTCACTCTTACCTGCATTTTAATCTTGCTGCAATGTATATTGTTTCCTTCCTCAATTTTATGATCACACTTACCCTACTAGGTACATTAAGCTAGAAAATTGTGGTTGGCCCAAGATCATGAATAAAATTTATATCCAAGGAATCAATCATGGGTCCAAATGTATCTCCCCCTATGAAACACCTCAGAGATTAAGGTCGTCTGGGGAGGCCTGCTCTCAGTCCCACCTTCCTTGCAAGCACAATTGGTGGGGATGAGAAACAGGGGCTTCTCAGTGGTGGTCCCTTGGTTATGAAACTCCCTCTCCAGCAACATTAGATCAGCACCCTCCCCCCTAGCCTTCAAAAGGAAAGTTAAAACCTGGCTCTGGGATCAGGCTTTCAGAGAATAGTACAGTGCAGTAACAGATTTAGAATATGTGCAATAACTATGGAATGGCTTGGACTACGAATATGGATGGTGTGATTTTAATATGGAATGGAATGTTTTAAAATGTAAATATGTATTAATTTAAATTTAAATTTAATATTATTGGAATTGTATGTGTTTTAAGGCATTGAATAATTGGCTATATGTAAGCCTCTCTGAGTCCCTTTCGGGGTAGAGAAAGGTGAGGTATAAATAGGGAAGAAAATAAAATAAGTTTTCACAGTCCTATCCAGGGCTTTAATCTGTACACAGTGACAGCGAATATGGACCTGGCTCAAATAACAGGAAAACAGTATATAAATATCTTAAATAAATAAACTGAAGTTGCTTTTCCTGCTAGATAGTGGAAAAATTGGATTGTTTAATTCTGTTCACCTTTTTACTTCATTTAAATAACTTGTAATTGAAAGATGAAAGCAGTAGAAATGTGCTATAAGCCTTCAGTGGTATTTGGTTTTAATGATTATAATTTTAATTCCAGGCAACCAAAGAGCAAACCCAGGATTTAATAGTGAAGACAACTAAACTTCAAGCAGAGAAGTACGTTTTCTTGTTACTTGACATGTTAAATCAGAATGGTTTTAAGGATGCTGTCTCCTTTCCACTGAATAATAAATATCACCTTAAGGCTATTTGATATACCACTTTTTCTGCTGCCAAATCTCAGATAAAAGTTACCATGGAAATGGTGAGAAGATGTTACATTACTCTGTCCTGAAAAGTGTTGTTTCTGAACCAGGGCACTGAGTTTTAACAAAACATGTCACATGAGAAGCTAACAGAATTTATTGCACAATCCTAAGGTTCTATTCTTTATTAACTACACTTTGTACTGCCCAGTAGCAAGAACTCTGTAAGTATTTCATAAAACAGAGGTGATGCCATAAAATGAGAGAATAAAGTATACTATAAATCAAACACAAAACAGCCACAGAATAAATTTAAAACCAACCACAAAAGGCTTCAGCAATGTAAGTAGCAGTATTGCCGTAAAAACAAACAGACTAATAAGCTTGCAGAATAAAATGCGCCTAACCGAGCACAGAAAACAACAGTGTTTTTAAACCAAGCAGACTAATAACCTTGGGGAACAAAATATTCCTAAATAATGCACAAAAGAGCTCAGTTTGGCCACTTTGTCTGAGAAGGGCCTTCCACCACTGGGCAGACTCAACAAGAAGGTCTTTCATCTTGTAGTTCCCTTCCTCACATAATTTGAGAGGTTTGTCCATAGCAGGATTTCAAGAAATGATCTTTGTGTTAATGAAGATGCATATAAGTGCGTGGATGCATGGGTTGTAATCTTATATGCATATCCGCAAATGTATGTTTGATTCAAATCAGTGGAATTAACTTCTTGGGTACAAATTTGTAGATTTGCAGTTTGCATGTATTAATTTGAAGAAGTACTATTCTAGGATTTCAAAACATAAATGTTTATGATGAAGATTACAACACTGAATTATTTCACAGTACATGCTGTTTTCTCTTCTTTGTATGTCTGTAATAAATATACCTGAACTAAAACTTGTGCATGAGATCTAGTTGCTTCATCTTTTGTATACACTTCATTCAACTTCAGTGTAGCAATAATATTATTGCTGTCCAAGGGTCTTATCATATCACTCCTTTATTCTGCATTATTTCGTTTTTAATCAGCCCTGGATAGACTTGTGAGCACTGACACTATCTCACCTTTCCTGCAGTTGCATTTTAAGAGTGTAATTTGCATGAAGTTTTTGTCTGCATCAATTGCATCATTACCAATTGTTATACCCTGTGGTTGGTTTGACTATTGTTTTTAAGTTGTGTCCATAACAGTGCTGCAACAGCAAAATGGTATAATTCTAGGATGTAAATCCCTCATATTTGATGCCAATGCCAAGAATTATTTTTCTGGGTTGCTGTGAGTTTTCCGGGTTGTATGGCCATGTTCCAGAAGCAGTCTCTCCTGACGTTTCACCCACATCTATGGCAGGCATCCTCAGAGGTTGTGAGGTATATTGGAAACTAAGCAAGTGAGGTTTATATATCTGTTTCTCCCAGGGTGGGAGAAACAACTCTTGTCTGTTGGAGACAAGTGTGAATGTTGCAGTTTATCACCTTGATTATTTATGTATTTATTTCATACATTTATCTCCTGTCCTTCACACCCCTGGAGGGGGACTCAGGGCGGCCTCACAACCAGCAACTATAAGATGCCCAAACAACGACAATTATAATAACAATTTACATTTGAAACAAATAGTTGAAATATCAAATATAAAAACATCCAATTAACATTACTTAAATTCATGTCACGATCCAGGTCTGTCCTGGATGTGATTAGCATTGCAAAGCCTTGCAGCTTCAAAGCCTGGTTGATTCCTGCCTGGGGAAATCCTTTGTTAGTAGGTGTAAGCTGGCCCTGATTGTTTCTTGTCTGGAATTCCCCTCTTTTCAGAGTGTTGTTCTTTATTGTTCTAATTTTAGAGGTTTTTTTAAATACTAGTGGCCAGATTTTGTTCATTTTCATGGTTTCCTCCTTTCTGTTGAAATTGTCCATATGCTTGTGTATTTCAATGGCTTCTTTGTGTAGTCTGACATGGTGATTGTTAGAGTGGTCCAGCATTTCCGTTTTCTCAGATAATATTCTGTGTCCAGGTTGGTTCATCAGGTGCTCTGCTATGGCTGATTTCTCAGGTTGAGTTAGTTTGCAGTGCTTTTCATCCTCTTTGATTCGTGTTTGGGTGCTGCATTTGGTGGTCCCCATATAGAGTTGTCCATAGCTGTATGGTATACGGTAGACTCCTGCAGAGGTGAGAGGAACCCTCTTGCCCTTTGCTAAATGTAGCATTCATTGGATTTTCTTAGTGAGTCTGTAGATTGTCTTTTTCTGCTCTCAAAACAGGGCCTGAGTGTAAACACAGTTGTACATAGTGTAAGTAAACTATTACAGTATGACATATTGTTCAGTTTGGAACAGAATGCAAATTTTACAAAATGTGTGAAATAAATTAGACTTTACCATAACATGACAAATCAACCTTTTAATTGCAGCCAAAGACTGGAATTAAAAGCACAAATAGCAGATGCTTTCATAACAGAGTTCCAGCTTTCTCCAGAAGAGATGAACATCCTTCGAGGTGCAAGAGATGGGCCTGTTACAGAGGTAACTATACTGTGAAGATATAGTAGTAGCTTTATAGCCTGGCAGCTTAGAGAGAATTTCCCCCCAATTCTCACTTTTCCTTTATTATGATATGATAATGTTTCCTATAACAAGGCTTCACAAAGTGGGTGGACACACAAGGATTTTTCAACACCTTGTCTGTTATATAACAGTTGCCTGAAAGTCCATGAATAAGAGAGACCCCAAAGATCTCGAGGTGTGAAGGAAGCAAGAACTAGTAAGATGTGAGAACAGATTTCAGTCTTGTGTGAAGATAGAAGGGCTTTTCATGGGACCTAAACTTCAAAATGTAGGCTTGATTTCAAAAATAGAAGTAGTATAAACTCTCGTTTTATAGTTGTTTTGCAAAAAGTTATTTGAGTTGTGGTTGCTCAATCTCTGTGCTGTTTTGTTACATTGTGCTGCTTCTTCTATTCCCTGCTATTTCCCATAACATGTATAGTCATAGGACTTGTTTTGAGCAAACATTCCAATAAAATCAAACATTCTATTCTGCACATATGGCCCTCCCACTGTCACTGTGATTGTAATTTTATATTGCTAATGTATTTATATGTTTTGTTTTGTGTTTTTTCCTTTTATTATTATCTAACTATGATGTTGTTGTTGCTTGTTGTTTGTGTTTTTGGTTTTACTTTGTTATAATTTGTTGTTTGGGCTTGGCCTCCCGTAAGCCGTCCAGAATCCCAGTTGGGAGAGATGGTGGTAGGGTATAAATAAATATTATTATTATTATTATTATTATTATTATTATTCTGAAAGCTAATGAGCAGCAATGGAAACCAATATTTTTATGCATTTCTACTTTCTAGTTTGAATTGTTAGCCACTCCACCAAACAATATGGCACAAATTGTGGGCTTCATCCAAGCTCATGGTTTGTTTGAACCAGAACATTGTAGTGACCAGATTCCTGACTTGAGGCTGCAAAGAAAAGCCATTTTGATTCATTATTGCTATTATGTCAGTTCAAAAGTCTCAAATGCATGCAGGTTTTTGAGATCTGATGATCTCTTCATTGAGTTAGATATTACAAAATTAGTTTTGCTTTAGGAGCAGAATAGGAGTGAGGAGAATGCTAACTATTTAGAAGTAACATGAGCATAGTTATAATCCTAACAGGGAATGCAGGAGATAGAACTGACAGTCCTATCATTTTTAATGAGAACAGGAGTCTTCTTTGTGAATTCTCTATGTGCAAGGTCATGTTTAAGTTGATGGAAGTAAGTTTAAGAGCAGTCACACTAATCCTGTATCTTTTTATTGAAGAATTTTTTTAAAGTATTGGGAAGAGTCAAGCAAATTCACAATGATGTCAAAATCCTTCTCCGTACAAACCAGCAGAGATCAGGGTGAGTCTTCAGAGAACAGATACAGAGCAACCCCTGAGAAGTGTTATACTTCATTGATGGAGTTCAACCATATAATGTACGCTATTAATAATGCTGTGTTGTTGTGTGCCTTCATATCATTTCTGACTTATGGCATTCCTGACACAGGACAAGATTTGTTCAGAATGGGCTTATCTTTGCTTTCCTCTGAGGCTGAGAGAGAGAGAAGGTCTTCCCCAAGGACACCCAAAGGATATCTATAACTAAGCAGGGATTCAAACCCTGGTCTCCAGGGTCATTGTCTGAAGCTCAAACCACTATACTACGTTGGGTTTCAGTAATCTATATATATAAATTTCCTACTGGCGTCCAACGGGGAAGCAAAACTCTAAAACCCCTCCACAAAACTCTACCAAAATTGCCATGCCCCAAGGAGAACCCACTAGGTACAAACTAATCCACTCAGAAATCAAAACAACCACAAAAAACGGGAAAGCAACTGAGCATGCGCACTGGCGCAAACTCCCCGACGCGCACATATGGCCCCTCACCCTCCCCCCCGGCGGAGCACACACACACGCGCACGTGCGCGCCCCCTCACTCCCCCGGCGCGGCACACACCCGCACGCGCGCGCGCCCCCTCCCCCCCCCCGGCGCGGCACACGCGCGCGCGCGCCCCCCGGCACACGCACGCGCGCCCCCCTCACCCCCCCGGTGCGGCACACACACGCGCGTGCGCCCCCCTCACCCCCCCCGCATGGCACATACACACACACACGCGCGCCCCCCTCACCCCCCCCGGCGCGGCAAACACGCGCGCGCGCGCGCCCCCACACCCCCCGCGCGGCACCTGCTAAAACCATCCCATCACCTCCTCCCTCGACCCCTCCACATTACTCAAAGACCGAACCGCTAAACCATCCCCCCTACCCTCTCCCTCTTACCCCTCACGTACCTCCAAGCCCTGCCTCCTTCTAAAACTCCATACCCCTCCCCTCCTCCTCCTTACCCCTCACGTTACCTCCAAGCCACGCG